GAGAGAAAAACAAGCAGGGTGGGACTGCCTGGGCTGAAGCTGGAATGGGACAATGAACTGCAAGGTGCAAATGGAGCAGAGCTGATCCCAGGGACAGAGCCCGGGAGCGCTCGTGCATTTTGGGGCCATTTTGGTTCATCTTGGGTGCAGCCCTGGCTGGGCTCTGGTGCTGCCCAAGGTGAATCCATGGAGGAGATGCTTTGGATAAATCCCTGCTTTATTCTTTAGCTCTGTCCAGCCTCTGCTCTAGGGCAGCCTCACAAGGCATCACCAGGTCCCTGGGTGAGCTCCTGTGGGAAAACCACCCCCAGCATTGCCTGTGCCAGCTGTGCCAGCAGTGCCAGGGAGGGCAGGCAGTGTCCCACACCGAGTGCCATTGTGTTGGGACACTTACAGGCTGTCAGGTTTGGGTTTTGGGGCAGCATCCCTGTGCCAGCTCTCCTCTTTCTCTGTCTTCAGACAAGAACTCAGAATCTGGGTCAGACTGATCATAACTTGAAATTCCAAGCCTGTGCGTGCCTGGAGGCAGGAACACAACAGAGCAGGCAGGGAAGCTGCAAAATGGAGGCACAAAGTTGAGGAAAGGAATTCTGCTCTTCCCTGCATGGGAGGCTCAGGCTGTGGCTCATGCAGGCTTTGGTTTGGCTCCTTTTCCAGAGGGTGGTGAGTGGGGTGGTGGCTCTGGGAAGGTGTTCCAGGGGCTCACTTGAAGTAAAACCTGGGTGAGGAAGTTGCTGAAGAGAAATTCTCGACAACCTGAGAAATTTTTGATGCTCCTGATGCCTAAAAGTGCCCAAGGCCAGGCTGGACAGGGCTGGAGCACCCTGGGACAATGGAAGGTGTCCCTGCCCATGGCAGGGGTGGCACTGGATGGACTTTAATGTCCTTCCCAACCTAAACCAGTCTGGAACACTTCCAGGGATGGGGCAGCTGGGACTAAAATCCAGGGAAGGGCTGGCAATCTTTGGAGCAAGGATGGAGGGTAAGGGGTTAAAATATAAAATAACCCTGCTGAGTTGTTCAGATCAGCTGAGGAGAGCTGGGTTTTATTTACCCCAGCAAACAGGTTACTCACTGAGTAAGTACACAGAGGTTCTGAGCTGGAGAAGAGCAGATGGAGCAAACCCTGAGTGTAACAGATGAGCTGTGCCTGGAACAGGAGAGATCTAAACAACCCTCCTGTGTAAAAATAACGTGTGAGCTCAGGGAACAGGGTGGATTTGCTTTGGGGTGCCTTGAAGGTTTCCTGGAATGTGTGGCTGCAGGAAACCCCTTCTCCTTGCGCTGTCACTGTGGCTGGGCTGTTCCTGCTCCTTCCACACCTTTCCCTGGAGCAAACTCCTCCCTTTGGTGTGGTCAGGGAGGGCTGGGCTGTCCTTGGAGGCTGTTCTGGGTACAAACCTGCAGTCAGGTTGTACCCATGCTGATTTAACAGCCACGAGGAGCTGGGCAG